CATTCAAATCTTTATAGTTGAGATTGATGACTAGACCAAAGGGTCGTCCCCCCATGGGCTCTGCAGGAATGAAGGAGTACTCAAAAGTTGCTTGTCTCTGGGGTGGCACTACAGTGTTCAGAGGAAGAGCTGTGAAATTCTGGATATAAAACTGGTAGTCCTGAGGATAACGGAATGAAGCATCTAAGGATTCAACAATGAAGTCTTCTGTACCCTTGTTTGTAAAGCCTACCAGGAACTTCACAATGTTATTTGCTGGAAAATCTTCTCCTTTTACAAACAGAATAGTTGTATCTGCACTTGGAGAAGCTTCAGGTTCACCAGATACATCTTCTTCCTCTTTATCTTCTGCCAAATCTGTGGGTTCATCTTCTTCAACCTCAGCTTCATCATCTTCATCCTCAATTACTGAATCTTCCACTGTTTCTTCATCCTCTGTAAGATCTTGAGCTACTGCTAATGAGCCTGTGGGGCCGCCTCGGAGCAAGACAGTGGCGGGGAACACGAGCAAGAGAAGCAGAAGCAGGCGGGGGAGGAGTCTCATGGCGCGGACAGTCCGGTGTCCAGTCCCCGTCCGCGAGGGTTCTCAGCGGCTCCGGCAGTAATGGCGTTACTCTTCATCCGGGCTCCAGGCGGGGAGGGCGTAATATTTTCCATTTAATAATTTTAGACTATGAGTAACTGAAACCACTGGAATCTAACCCACTGATAAGGAGGGACTACCTTTGTAGGTTTTGTAGGATTTGTTATATAGTCCAGGGGGAGGTTATCCTGTATCGGACATGGAAGCAGGGCAGGTTTTGTTGCCCTGCAACCTGGGACTATACACAGATCCCTTGCAATGGAAAGGTTCCCCCTTGTCATCCAGATGAGGGGTTTTCCTTTGAACAAGGGACCCTGTGTTTTCTTTGTGGGCCTGGCCCTGCTGGGGGTGTCACCACCCCTGCATGGGAGGCTGGGTGCAGTGGATTGCTTGAGGCTCATGAGTTCAAGACCAGCTTAAGCAAGAACAAGTCCCTGTCTCTACTGAAAATAGAAAATTCGCCGGGTATAGTGGCACTCACCTGTAGTCACAGCAACTTGAAAGACTGAGGCAAGAGGATCACTTGACCCCAGGAGCTTGAGGTTGCTGTTATGATGCTGCTGCAGCACTCTACCCAGGGCAAAAGAGTGAAACCCTATCTCAAGAAAAATAGACAAATTGGCTTGGCACTTGTAGCACAGGAGTTACAGCGCCAGCCACATATACCCAGGCTGGCGGGTCAAACCCAGCCTGGGCCAGTTAAACAACAATGACAAATGCAGCAAAAAAATAGCTGGGGCTTGACACTTGTAGCACAGTGGTTATGGCGCCAACCACATGCACTGAGGCTGGCAGGTTCAAGACTGGCCCAGGTCAGCTAAACAACAATGACAACCTGCAACAAAAAATAGGTGGTCATTGTGGCCAGTGCCTGTGGTCCCAGCTACTTGGGAGGCTGAGGCAGGAGATTCGCTTAAGCCCAAGAGTTGGAGGTTGCTGTGAGCTGTGACGCCATATCACTCTACCAAGGATGACATAGTGAGACTCTGTCTCAAAAAAAAAAGAAAGATAAAAGAAAGATCAAAATGGGGGCAGGTAGGTGTTACCTCTTCCCCAAGTTTTAGGCCTTTAAGGGTCTTAATTCTGGCTCAGGTGGGGTGGGAAGGAGCAGTTCTGCAGGGCCCAAAGCCTGCATATCAATTTATCAGCCTTTGTTTACCTGACACCAGAAGTTGCTTGGAATAGGGTCTGGCCAAGACATTCTAGACTCCTCCGTAGTGCCCCCTGGCCTCCAGGAGCAGTACTGATAGCCCTCCTTGTGTCCTGACTGCAATGTCAAACCTGCCTGAAGGAAGGTGGGGTCATAATTAGATGCCCATAAAGCTCCTTCAGGGGCAGTCTAAGCTGGCTATTGTAGCCTAGTGTTAACAAGGTCAGGGTTAACCAATATGATCCCCTTATGGCCTAATTAAGGACTTGAATGAGGCTCGGCATCTGTGACTCAAGTGGCTAAGGTGCCAGCCATGTACACCCAGGGTGGCAGGTTCGAATCCAGCCTGGGCCCACCAAACAATAATGACGGCTGCAACCAAAAAATAGCCGGGCGTTGTGGC